AAAATGAGGGTCTAGGTACGTGATTTTCTAGGTTTCAGCATGGCATCTGTATTATTTCAGATAATAGGCAGAAGTTTACAAATTCCTGAAATAGCATCCTCAGCATTGCAAAGTCTGTAGAAAACTCACAGAGTTAGCAGTCTGTGTGCTTAATATGACCACACCGACAAAGGACAAATTAGCATTTGTGATGGTCAAACCAGTATTAAGAATGCAGTGCCACAGAAAATGCTTTAATTGCATATTTTTTAAAAAAACATGTTTCCAAAATACATTTATGTCCATTTTAAAATAACCACCTATTCTTCATTGCTTCAGTCCTCGTTTCCACTGAAACAGTGAAAGAGTGAGCAAAATGCCTCCAGGAGCATCAACACTTTTCTGTACAGAGCCTGAAGTTAAAAAGGCACAAGCTCAAAATGCAGGCTGAAAGCTATCCAAACAGCCTTAATTTAGCCTCTTGCTTGTATACACCTTATAAATACAATCCCTCCACAAACTATCACACTGTTTTCCTTTAAGATCTGTCTGGTTTTCAGCCAGACGCCATCTCCTCAATTCTACTGGGACTACTTACATACTTAAATATGTGCACAACTTCTGCAGAACTGGACTAAGACAGGATTGGAGTTTGTCTCCATGATTTCAAAGGGTGGCTCAGAATACTGGACTAGAACTAGGAACTTGGGTTAGATCCTTTAAAGATATTTAAATGACCAACTAGGAAAATATACTTTTTCAAAGTATCTAGGAACCCAACCTGCCCCAGCTCAGATATCTGTACTCTTGAAAGTAGTTAGTGCTTGTTTGCTTCTTTAGGTATCTGAGTAGCTTTAAAAAAAACCTCATGTTTAATGTTTCTTTAGAGTCTGGACTCTTTATTAACTATTTGTGAAGTAAAGTTCAGTAATTACAGTGAAAATATGCAAAGGAAAAAGAAGAGAACCTTTTAATTCAATACAGAAAGGGACTCAGATGGGAAGATCAAATGAGAGCTGCCACAGCCTAAAAAAGCATCAAGCAGTATTTAGGCATCATTATTTTAGGACATCAAAGTTTATCTTCAGATACTTAAGGTGTGGCTGGAAAAATCTCACATTACAGTTTGAATGTGTCTGGCGTGGTTTTTTATGGTTGAGTATTTTTATATGGTTGAGTATTAGTGGAGGAATGTGTTTTTCAGATTTTATTCTTGTGAATTGTTCACAACAGAGAAAATACCTTCAGTCAGTCAGCTGAAGCACCCTAGAAATAAAAATAAGAAGGATGTAAAGAATTTAGTTTATTTTCCCTTCAAGTACTTTGTTTCTCTATTCTTCGTTTCACTAAATTCACCGCTGATTACACTAGAGACAGGTTTGTGTTTGTTTTTCAACCCTCTACTTCATCAGTCTCATTTTTTATTCTTTAAGAGAAATGTTTCAATTTCCATAGAGTACTGTGGGATTTTTTTCAATCCAGATCTTAAGCTAACATTGACTTGAAAGTGACAACTAATGAGCAGGCACCTCCATGTAAGACACGCACTACTGACATTTCATCTAAGGGTAATTCAGCGGCCAATGGCTTTTTCTCCCATTTAAGCTGCTGACAGCACATCTGTTAACTGAGCTGGCACATGAAAGCCTGTGGCCACACAAGGTTCTCTGATCCGTGTGCCAGACGCCCAGGCAGCGTTTCTTCCCTGGCTCCCAGGAGCAGTCACAGAGAATTTCCATTCTCTGAAGCATTTTTCCAAATTGCACAGATACTTTTTTAGCATTACAATTTTATTGTCCATCCTCTATCTGCCTGTACTATGCGGTCTGCTCTCCTCCTGTGCCTGCACAGTCATTGCCATACCAAAAGGCTTTATTCCTGATACTGGAGACTGGAGTCAGGTCCTGTTCTGAACGAGCAATTGAGCACACTCACGTCCTGCTGGGAGGTATCTCAGCAAGTTTGTTCCTCATAGCATATTACACACCTCTACTTTTGGTGTCCACTTCTGGCCAGATGTCTTCCCAAACTTCTGATGAGAAGTGGAGGGAGACCCTCTCCTGCCAATAGAATTGTAGTCCCCTGATGAACCACTTGTTCTTTAAATGAGTTTATTTTGGGCTGTTTATACCAAATGTGCTCCTGCAATACAAGTTTGGGATACATTGCAACCTTGAAGAAAATATTTATTTAAATCATTTCAGTCCCTAATTCCAGCTTAGACCCTAGGCATTGTAATATGACATTTACATAATTATTTTCAAAGAATGAGACAAACCTTGAGCTAATAAGTCCCTGTGCTGTTCCACAAAGAAGTGAAAACCTCATTTATTAACACGTAAATATCAGGAAAGTGACCCAAGCCCTTCTACAAACTGATGCATTTTATTTCAGTTTCATTCCATCACTGTCCTGGAAGGTTCCAAATAGTAAAAGTTAATAAATTGTAAATTTCTGTCACAATAGTGATATTTTTAAAATTAATAAAAGTACCTGAAAAATTGATTCTCAGAATGCATTTCACAGACCTTGGCTATTTATCTGAGATGCTCACGGCTTCATGTTTCATGAGGGTGCTCTGCAGAGTCTTGAAACAAAGTGGGGCACAGCCTCCTGGCCCAACTACCAAGTTTTCCATGTTAAAACAGAGACTTTTGGGGCAGAAAAGAGCATGGCCACTCCTGGAGCTTGGGAATGCTCAGAAGTTGCAAAGTTATGACAGCCCTTATATTTATCTGCCAAAGTGAACGTGAAGCTGGTAGCACTGAGACAAGTGCTGGTGCTGCTAAAAAACAAAACAAAACAAAACACACACACAAAAAAAAACACACACACACAAAAAAACCAAACAAAAAAAAAACAAAAAAACAAAAAAAAAAAAAAACAAAACAAAACAAAAAAAACCAAAAAAAACCCAAAACCAAACCCTGAAGCTGTACTTTGGGGTGTTCATCCTACCTTTATCCAGCCTGAATTGAGATAAAGACAGACCTCATGGAGTTTCACCTAGAATTCAATGGTAGAAATCTTGGAAGAACATGAGTGAAGGATTTCATGGGCAAACCCCACACTAGGCTAGATAGAGGCAGTGCTTGGGACTACCTCCATCATGTAATAACACTGTGGCTGAATAACAAGATAACTTTGCTGACTAGACATCATCCTTTAGAAAGTGCAGTCTTGCTGTGGATTTTGCCCAAAGTCAAGTCAAACCCCTAGAAGGATGCATATTTTAAAACAGTCAGTACTACATCAGAATACAGGTGTCATCAGTTTTAGGATTTCACACAAACTACAAACAACTTTGGATGGTTCTGGCATGTGCAAAATTTATAAACCATGTACCACTTTCCAAAAAAAAAAAAAGAGTAGAAACAAAGCACCCAGCTATACTTCAGTGTAAGTCGGCCAGCACCCTAGGTGTACCCTGCAGCATCTTTCATTTTAGAGGAGTTTTTTGATGTTAGAAGTCTCTTTGAATTATTTTTTCAGTTTGTTAAAGGAAACATAGATAGAAGCATCTGGATATTTTCAAATATAATTTTGTATTCTCTTTCAGTTTCTACTGAAGTCTCCAAAATATAGCCATAATTTCACGGCTTGTGTTCTGTGTAAAGAAGAAAATAAAGGAAAAGACAATAAAAGAAAGCAGAAATTTATAAGCCCAATTAAGCAAAGAGGTACTCAAAACTGGCAGGCACCTGGTTTTATGCTTTCATTGTCATTCTCATCCTAGTTATGTTTTTTTTTTATGATACCTAGTTAAGGACAATATCTCATTGTCCTAAGCATTGTTCTAATTTATACTGGTGGCATTGGTTTCAAAAAGGTATAAATTTTTTTCTCAAGCACCTCTGCAGCTGAAATAATTTGTAACTTGTCTTTTCACATATAACCCAGAATTGAGAGAGTTTACTGTAGAGAGAGCTTACTGTAGAGAGAGCTTTATCTTCTGCAGCTAACCCAGGCAAAACTTGCTCTGAAACCAGTCAACCATGGATGCAGCTCCAGATCCACATGATGTTTCTACACAAAGATGCTGTGGATTTTAGCCTTTATTCTGCAACTCTTACTTACCTTGGCAGCCCACAGAAGCACCACTGCAGTCAGTGCTTGATCTGGCTTGAGATCCCTGTGGGCTTTGCACACCCTCCTTTGCATTGGGAATTTTTTTTTTCTTTTTTAATGTTGCAATGAATTGCAATGCAGTGCAATTTCCATTTCTTTCAGTGATTTGTGGGAAAATTTTATCTGTCCTTTCCCAACCTATGTCAGAGGCAGAATTAAATCATTAAGGGACTAGAAGAACTCGACTGGTGCTAACCCCTGTAGTGCAGGCAGATTAGCTGCTGACATCTGCAGCAGACAAGCTGCACTAGGAGGAGTTTGTAATATAAGCCCTATAACTAACCAGCAGCTTGCTCCATCACTCTCAAAAGTTCATCTGTTATTGTTGTAGTTTTCATAGGAAAAAGGAACAAGAAGAGCATGACTCAAGTGGCTGCAGTGTTACAAAACCTATTTGTTTTTCTGAAAAATGTGACACTGATGACATCCTGCAATCTCAGTGATGCAAACCATTCTCTGTTAAGGAAGAACATTAGCAAACAGCCTACCTAGGTGTTCAGAAATGCCCTTTATAACATAAAAATAACTGAAAGACTGTGCAAATGTTTCCTGCTTAACGTGTACTAAGAACACCCAGGAAACCTAGTTGTCTAACCTGTAAAAAGACATTGCTTATTGCTAAGGTGCACTGTGGATCTTACTAAATACACCAAGGCCTATGAAACTATCAGATACAAGCTGCTCCTCTTACAAAAATCATCTGTGACTGATGCCACCTGAGTTTCCAAATGCACAAGTTTGTTCTGCAGGAAGGTTGTCACTATAGGTTTTGTGTCCTGTATTTTTACTGTGAAGAGAGAAGCATGCAGCTGAAGATGACAACTGAGGCAAAGGTACTAACGTTGCCTCCCAGGCAGGCAAAAGGGAGCCTGCTGGGACTGCTTCGGGGGAGCATGACTGTGGCAGGGGTGAGAATGTACCGAGGTAACTGCTCTTCCATGATGGCCTAATTTGTCAGCATTCTTCTTTCTCTACAAGTTTTGGGATTTTATTTTTAATTAAAATAGTCAAATGCACGCCAAGCTGCCTTTGTGTCAGTCTAAAGTCTTGATTAAAATGTAATGTGGCACAAAGTCATATGTCCTGAACTTTAATTTGCCTTAGAAATCATTAAATGTGTACACACCAGTGGGTGGCTATCTTGCTGTCAAGGAGCAGTGATATGTTTTTGCTTAACGTGTCAAAAATAATTGATGGGAAACCGAGGGGGAAATGCTACAACCAAGACTGGAAGTAAAAAGAAGAAAGGATATAGACTTGTATATTGGAGATATGAGATAAAAATGCAGCAAAGATAAAAACCAAAACCAAGTTCTTTCCTTTTTTTCTTCCTAGTTTTTCTGTCTAGGTTTATGTTTGAGTAGGGGATGAGTGAGCTAGGCAAAGTCTACAGAATGGGGCAAAATAGCCAAATATGCAGGACAGGATAAATGAGGAGAGCACATTTGCAGACCATGTGATATTAGAAAGACTGGCAAACTCAGGAAGGAGATGGGGAAGAAATGAAAAAGAGGATAGCACATCCTTTATACATTAAAGCAATAAAAATACTGTTAACAATTATGACTTTGCTTACTGTTGACTAAAGTTAAAGAAAAGCTGATACTGGAAAATAGTAACAGCTTTAGGACCTGAGCTATGTTCATGAAAACACAGACAGTTTTTGCCCGTGCTGGCCCGATGGCTGATTATTGGTTTTCCTATTGCCAGACTAGACAAAGCCACAGCACCTCTGAGCACATAGGACATGCCTGGATAGCTTCAATTTCTGAGCTTTTATAAACAAGAGTATCTATATCAGTTAGACACTATTACTAATGTATAGAATATTTGTCATTTTTTACCAGGAAAATCTGAAAAGGATTTACAGGTCTTACTGCTGACACTTGGATCTGGTCAATGTTATCATGTATGGCTATGATATATTAAAGAATATCTCCTAGAAATATTTAATTGGTCAGCAGTTTCATAACTCAGAGCTCTTCTTGATCTTATTGTAGCTGCAATGTTGTAAATTTGCTTTGCTTTTCCTCCACTGTTTTATGAAGTGCATAAATGTACACTGCCAATACTAAGCAACTTGCTCAGATTTTAGTTAGCTAAGTCATTCAAGTGTTTTGAATCTGTTAACAAGCTGGTCATTAAATGAATCACTGACCTATTTCTCAGCTACTCAAGCTAAGAAACTATAACTGATGACCTATAAAAGCATCAGTGTGTTAAGAAAAATTATTAGCTGGAGTAGCACAGCAACAATTGTTCACTTGATCAGCTCCCACCAATCTGAACAAAAAGATTCACCAATGCCAGCTTCACCTAATTCATCAGAAATCAGGTTTTGACACAGATGAATGTCTAGGAGAATTACTACGAAACTGCTATACAGGCAGAATACATATCTTCTTCCTTGGTTTAATACTGGAAAGTTTTATGCAAGTATTTAAAATGCTTCTAATCTGGGGTGCTCCAGAGGAAAATCTGGGGTGCAGACTCTCCTGGACTCAAGAGGAGTCAATTTTAGACCTTGCACTTATTTGTGCAGTGGAACAATCACCTTCCTTGTTTGGGGACAGGTACGGCTTAGATCCAGGTCCAAATTCTGAGCCCTGTCCAGGCCCACCCCATATATCAAAAGGACTGAATATGGTGGGTTTAATGTCTGTTGCTGTTATCCAGTGACAGGCAATATATGGAAGCCCCTGGTCAATCCTCTTGTGTTTTTGAGTGAGTAGGCAGTGTTGGGGTGATGGGGACAGAGAACGGGGGAGGGGGGCAAGGCAGGACCACAGCCATGGTCCATGCTCAGCACATCCAGCCAGAGAATGTTGGGGTTTAGCAAAAATCAAGAGGAGGGAGGAAGGCAGGAAGGATTTACCTGCCTCTTTGCCACCTCCATCAGCCATGGCACTGTGTCCTGGTGAGGCTTAAGACCTTCTGTCCCCTGTCATCTACAGCCGTTGTCACACTAGTGTCTAAGTGCTTTCCAGCTAAGCCACCTGCTCCGAACAAAAAATAATGTGGTTTTCTGCATTTTCCTCTTCCCTGCCTCAAACCAGTCCAAAACACTCAGTTACAGGCTGCCAAGTGAACTAGCCATTTTTCCATTTGCTGGAGACAGCCCTGCTTGGGGGTTGCCTTTTGGGGTTGTAAATGCACACGTAGCATCCTGCTATACTGCGGGGAGAATTACAGCTTGAAAGCCAAGGCGGGGAGGGGCGGTACTGTTGAAATGTGCTTGCTCAACTCCCCTGAAGAACAACCTAAAGCCTTTCAGCTTACACATATAAATGAAATTTTGTGGTTGATTTGCATTTGTATGATGTTTGTCCCCAAGACACTGCATGCAGATGAAGATGGACGGTAGTAATGTTAGGAGTTAAAAAAGCAGAGTAGGAAGTCACACCTCACCTACAGCAGAGGTGCTTCAGCTGAGTTAGTGCTTGAAGAGCAACCTTTTTTTTTTTCTTTCTTTTGCAATCATTGCTTGCATGACAGGCCCAGACGGAATTACATCACTTCCTAAAACCCATCAAAGAGAGTCCATCTCCTGAAGAAATGCAGCTCAGATGCTCTCCAGCAGGAAACAGGAAATGTAAATGTTTGGGTGAAGCAGGAGCCCGCCGAAGCGCCCCTCGGGTGGGAGGGCTGCCAGGGTAACATGCGAAAGCAAAACCTCATCCTGCTGCTTTCTGCCCTGTTGCTGGCTGGAGAATCCGCCGGGAACGGTAAGTAAGAAAGTGTCTTTTGCTTTCCAAGGTGGGACCACGTTCCTTGCCTGCAGCAACGGGACCGAGTCGAGTCGGAGGGCAACACCCTCCAAACTGAGTGCTAGGAGAAGATCTGCGGGGACTTGCTCTCTGATTCTTTTAGCTGTGTTTACCCTCTCTGTTTTCAGCTGCCTGACTTTTTCAGTGCTCTGACTTTTTTTCCTTAGACCTAACTTCAAACAGCTGCAACCAAATCCTACAATTCCTACATTTCTTAAATTACAGGTATGTAGGGAACCAGAGTTTCCATGCTGGTCTGCCAGGCATTTTGGTTCTAATTTTAATTATTTCATGTAGTTTTTTAATCCCACACCTGTACTATCAGCATTCCACAGAAAAGTTAAAAGTCGGAGCACCAGTTCCATTCAAAAGCTGACTGCTGATTTCCATAGTCCTGGTGCACTGAAACTGGTTTAACAAAAGAACAGCCGGTTCTGGAGACAAATACTTTGAATTCTCGGCTGCAAAAGAAAGTGATCAACACTGTGGATTTAGGTCTTGACCTCCTGAAGGGAAGAACCATGAGCGGAAAAGCTGCTTCCGACAAAATGCTGAAGAGTTGGGGTGTTGTTGCAGAGGCTCTTACCTATCTGTGGTGGGTCTTCTATCCCACTGGCATTTTAGCAGGTCGTGACTGTGAAAGACAGGCAGCTCTTTCAATAAAACCTTTCCAGGCGGTGCTTATAGAAGGCATATGGCTTTCAGTGTCAAACAAATCACTGCTGAAAGTGCCTCAGTGTGGATTAGATGTGTTTGCTGCCTCTGTGCTGCTGCAGCATGTGGGAGCTCTCCAGAAAGCAGGGAGAGAGGACAGTCACTCTCAGCTATTGCTGGACTTTCTCTGTTAAGGTTTGAAATTACATTGATAAGATAGGTGGTTTGGTATGGGTATTTTTTTCCCTGAAAATCAGTACCATAAGCATGGTGTAAAGCTGGGCTGCTGGCTCTCAGCGTGCTGCTGAGCTGCTTGCAGTTAGCAGTCTTGCTTAGCTGTAGGAGTGAGCTAAGCAAGGAAAAAATAACAGTTTGGTCTTGTCAGTGTTACTACAGCCTTTCTATGTTACAGACATGCTAGGAGAATATGCTGCAAGCATAGAACATAGCTCAGAATTAAAATGGTCAAAGGAAAAAATTCTGCCATAGGCAGAGCAAACCAGAGGTCCCAGGTGAACAGAGGAGCACAATGCAAGCAATGCAGAATGATCAAGCTCCAGATTCCCTGGCTTATTTGCAGTGTACCAACTGCTAGGGAAGGGGAGGAGGACATCCATCCAGAGAAGAGCAGGGACCCTGTTTCCCCATACGATAGGAGGCTTTTGCTTTTGCAGTTAGACCCAAAATGTACCTGGGACTTACTCTTGACTGCAAGGGTGAGAGCGAGGAAGTTTTGAACTTGGGTCTTGGGGGGAAAATTGGAGGGAGAAGAGTTGATAAGAGCTCCTCCACTGAGGGCAGCCTCCTGGGGGGATCCTTTTCTCTCACTCCTCCTTGTTCATAGATCAACAGGGCAAGATCTTTGAAGGAGCTTTTACTCTTTCACCTGCAGTCCCAGATACAATCCCCACCTTTAAAGTGGTCTGCTGGAGAAAGGAGGCAGAAACTCTAGGGGATCTCCCAGGTCTCACCTCTATTGTCTGGAAAACATTTACAAAATAGGCAGTAGGAGTATGATTAAATCTTGCAGAACAGACAGATTGAAACCTTTATAAGTCCTGTTCCCATATCATGCTGGAGCCTTGCAAAACCCCAGCCTTGCCATTTGGATTATGATTTACTTTAAGCCAATAGCTCTAAGAGCGTGCCTGAGGTCTCAGCTCTGGGTGCTGGCCCTCTCCTGGATCCATGCCAAGGGGTCATCAGAATTTGTACCAGTCTCTTTCCCCTTGCCCATCCCCGTGTGTTACACAGGCAGAAAGCTCTGCCGGTCACCTGCTAACGTGGCCCTTCCTCTCTGGGTGATGGTGCTCGGTGTTCAGCATCACAGCAGCCCTAAAGACCTACACAGGTGTATTCTGACTCTAAGAACAAGTGTCCCTATAGCTTGCAGGAAAAGGCTCTGACCCTACAGGTATTTTCCAGGGTAGGCCAACTCCCTCCATGTGCGGTGAAAAATGCAGGAAATTGCCATGCAAATGGTTTGATGCAAGGAGCACGAAAACATGTGAGGGAGAGAAGCAGTAAAGTGTGTATCATCCTTAAACGCAAGAGAGCTGGGGTGGTTGCAGGTAGGGCTTATTTTGGCTTTGTCTCTGCACTAATGTTATGAGCTGTCATTGAAAGAAACATTGCAATCAAGATCCAGACACTCAGCAACTTGTACTGTGAGCACTGGCAACAACTCTTTCTTTGGCAGAGAAGGGCCTTTCAGATCAAGTCCCACACAAAGATGAGGTCTCTAAGGGAGTGATATTTTTGACCTGTTCTCCCCTAGAATAATGAACTTGAGAATGGGTTCGAACCCCTCAGAGTCACCTGTTAGAATTTTCTAGAAAAGCAACAGTAGAAGAAAGGATCTGCTACAATCTCCCTTTCCAAAATGCAGCACCCTAAGAAGCAGATGAAAACCCCTTTCTACTGAACGCATCAATTCCTTTTACGTATTTACTCCTATTCCTCCCTTTTATCCACACACACAAACTTCCCGTGTTTTATTCAAGTGCTTCAAGGACATTTCAGAAGATGTCCTTTACATCAGCAAGATTGTATACTAAATTTCAGTCAGTGACCCCAGTCTGTTTCCCTTCAAGAGATTTTATGATAGCTAGAGAGCCTCTGGAGCTTTTGAGTCTTCAATTTAAGGGTCCTTCTGAGAGCAAGGAGCACCCAGAGATTTGCATTACAGTGAGGTTGCACGGGTATCACTGATGCAGTGCTAGGAGGCCACACGATTAAGCAGATGCAACTAAATGCATAAATCTGTCTGGAAAACCTTTAATACTAGGGGTGAGAAAGGAGACTAGAGGTTCAGAGTTTGACTCTAATATGCATGACTGAATTTGTAAACCAGCAGTTAACGCTGCACTTCAGCTGATTAGAAGTACAGTGAGGAGAAAGCAGTCTCCTTCTATAAATGAACTTAAAGTTGTTTCCTCTTTCAGGTTATGCCTAGATAACACTTTCTAAGCACCCCATTTTAATAGGATCTTGTCTACAGATTAGCCATCCTGAAATATTTGTGCTCCCTCATCAGAAGGGCGTATGCACCCAGCAGCTAGCCTGCAGGCTTTTAAGGATTCCTCTTCTAGCCAGACTGACAGGCAGGACTTGCTGCAACAGGCAGTTGGGCAAGCCCTGGCCATGGCAAGGAACGTCCCTTCTTACAATGTGAAAGGCAGGGAGAGGAAAAAGAACAGGGGTGAGTCAAGGCAGGACTTGCTGCAACAGGCAGTTGGGCAAGCCCTGGCCATGGCAAGGAACGTCCCTTCTTACAGCAATGTGAAATGCAGGGAGAGGAAAAAGAACAGGAGTGAGTCAAGCAATAGGAGAGGATCATACGGCCCATGTGGAGTGGTGTGACTATGCCACCAGAAGGAATGTGTGTATGGAGCAGAGTGATATAGGATGTGGTAACTTTATGCCAGCCTACACAGTTCTAGAGCCTTTTCTTGTTTTGTAACCCTCTCATGAACCTTCCTTTCATTGCATTTTTATAGCTTACAGGAAAGTCCAGAAAACCAAAACTTCCTTTCAAACGAATAAGCTTGACTATGCCATTAACTTAGCTCTTGCTTTTCTTCTCTAAGGAGGAACTATAGTGTAATTTCAAAAATTACACTCAGAGACCTCAGTCCTCAAGTCTGGTGAGAAGGCAGCAGGGGGACTGATGATTTGACAGGAGAACTGAGTGTGCTGACTGCTGGCTATTTTCCTTTGCTTTGTAACCAACTAGAATCAGAAACCTGTTTGCCTACTTACATCAAGAAGCTCGTATCACCACCTCTGAGTGCTTCAGCACAAACCTCAGAGGAAGAAGTGCTGCAACAACAGAAATGTTGTTTATCTGTTCCACATGCAGTTGCTTGGACTCCAATCTGTAAAGCCTCTTGGTATATTCAACTCCTTCTGTCTCCCTTGAAAGGCAGGCTTGGGAGCACCTCCAAAACTCATACAAAGTTCATCAGTAATCCAAGCATATTTTAAAAGTAGAAAATATTGAATAATAGCATGGTATCTGCATAGAGGGACATAGATTTTTTTAAATTTGTAAGAAGTGTAATGGAACCCTTTCTGAGCTGTTGCTAGTGCTTGCTCAGGCATTTAGCCCCATGAGGACTAGATGCCCTAACACCTCAGTGCTGTAAACCTTAGGACTTTTTACCTTCTGGCTCCAGCTTCTTATCTTCCAGTTCCAGTTGTGCCCAGTTCCCCATCAGTTTGGGATGCACCTGCATGCTAGCCCCTCTCCCTTCTGCTCTTCAAAGCAGGCAAAGTGGCAGTATGTGCTGGGCTGAAGCTGTGGTGTGCACCAATCTGATTCCTTCAACATGGGGAGAAGTCACCAGCACTTATGCCCCAGACGGTCCAGAGAAAACTGAAGCTGATGGTGTTGTTGTGTGAGCACTCGCTCCTTGCCCAAGATGTGCAGAGGGCTGAGTGTGGATGTCATGCTGGGCCAACAGCATGGGACTGAGCTCAGCAAAAGAAAGGACACAAGCTTTGCAATGTCAAGGAGATATCTACATGGTAGATGTGACTTCCTCCTTGTTCCACTCCATTGGCCTTGGTTTTCTCTCCTGAATGTAATGTTGTTATGTTGTGGTTTACATTATGTTATGGTCAGACTCCCTTTTGAAAGGAGCTAGTAGATCTCTGCAAGATGAACCCAAGCATAGCTGATGAGACAGGTGTGTGAATGACCACCATAAATCTGGCTTCTTCCAGGCATGGAGACAACATTTGAATAGTATCTCACGAAAACCCTGACTTTCAGATGCTCTCCTGCCGTGCTCCAATCCTTGCAATGTCCAACTTTCATTTACCCTACAGAACAGCCACTGAGGCCAGCTGCAACAAAATCTGCTTGCTAGCCTGAGCACTTTAAACTGTGATAACTGCCTTTGGGCCAACCACATGGTCTCATGTGGCCAGGGCAGCTGCCTGTGGCAAGCGTTGTGCCTGCATCAGGAGGCCTGAGTCTGTCCCTCCCCAACAGGGGAAGTGCAAGGCACCAAGCCCACACAGGTGCAGGTTGTGATTTTCCTACCACATGAAAAATGTGATGTGTAAGTGGCCTGGGAGCAAGAGCAGCCCTTATAGGACCGGTAGGGTGTCCCCTGGGACCTCAGAGCACTGGTCCTCAGAGGTGATAGGCAGCTGGAAAGCTGGAGGGAGATGTGTTGAAGCAGAAGGTGAAATACAGGAAGTAAGAGCAATATCCTTGCAAGAACATTGTGCAAGTGGCTGCTCTTCTGCTGGAAGATGTATTTAATTCACTCGGAGAAAAGAGCTCTGTAAGATGAAATGATGTTCACAGAAGAGATACTGGTTTGTCCCTGGAATTATGCAAAGTGAACAAAACTACGTCACAGCAAGGTCACTCCCTGTGACTTGCCATTGTCTTTGCCTAGACACTAGAAAAGGTAATTCTATTTCACACAGAGACAAATTATTTGAAATTCACCTCATAGCTCCAAAAAAGGCAAGTAAAAGCTACCAGAGACACTGCAAAAGCGTCTAGGAAATCAGGTGCAGCAAAGGCTGCAGCTGAAAGTTTAGTACTGCAGTTAGCGAGGTGTGACTGTTTCCTTTTACCTTAAAGTCACATCATGCTTTAGACATTTGAAAAATCCATTTGAGCTCTAAGAGTAAATGAAAAATAAACTATTTTCCCCCACACTTTTGCATTACAAATAGTACAGATTAGTACTATTTTAAGCAATGGGCTTGTCCTTGTCAGCATATCCAATGTGGCAGACAGTGGGTTTCAAGGGCAATGGCTAGAGGAAGAAAATGAAGCAAGGTCATCTAAGTAGTTCCGTGAGGCTGCGGTGGTCCGTTGGCCCCACAAGCAGCACAGTCCATCACACCAGAGTCTGTGGTGAACATCTCTAGGGATACCTCGCTGCTCTGTGCAACAACTGCAGGCACTGGGAACCATAGGAAAGAAACCTCTTACCTTGGGAAAGAAACGTCAGGCAGCCAAACTAATAGGAGAGGGGAGCTCTCCCTCCTGGCCTCTGCAATGGATTTAAGGACAGACAGCAGATCATGGGAAGGGGTGGAGGAGCACATGTGTAAGGGGGTCATTAGCTGCAAGGGAGGCAGAGAACGTGTTTTGCTCTTCATTGAAATACTAAACAGAGAAGGAAGTGACAGACTACTGATACGAAGTGCTTTGCTACTGAAGAGCTAACATTTTCATTGTCATATTGTGGTGAAAGAGTTTGGTGATCTTTGCAGTGTTAGATACTATTTTCAAGTATTAGATATTATTTATTAAGTATTAAAATTGTCTCCTAATTTTTTTTTTTTTAAAGGATGAAACAATCAGGTGCCTGAATGATAAGCATGGCATAAAACTCTAGATAAATCACATCTATCACATGAAAATAATTTTATTTATTTGAAATATACTTTGGTGGAATACAGTCTTATAAGATACTTATCTCCTCTTTGATACAAAACTGACAGGAGAGGAGATGTTGCCAAGTGGATTAAGCAAGAGATAGCGCTCTAATCCCAGTTTTCCTCTCTCACTTGGCGTCCCTGGGAAGGACAGCATCCCTGTCCTTCTGATTTCTCATTTGTAAAATGGAGATGATAACTGCTCATCTCTCAGGGCCATTATGAAGATTAATGTGTTTACAAAAGCATTTAAAATGCTAAGTACTTTCGGTTCCAGTCCTGTGAGATTGGAAATGCCAGCACTGAGGTGCTGAAAACCTTAAGCTCTTGCTAACTCTAGTGGAAACTATGGCTGCCTAGCACTTTACAAGAGCGGGGAGAAACGTGTCATTGCAAAAGTCATGAAATCCATTTCTGCTTTACTGCATAAAAGGAGAGCTGCACCATGCCAGCATTGTATCACAAAGGGCAGATAACTGAAAAAAAATCTTCATCTAATTTCATTCTAAGAAAATTATTGAAGGCTTTCCGTTTAGAAACATGTTAGTGTAAGCTATCTAAGGATTGATTCCTGCACCTTTGGCTACAACAACACTTTTGGGATCAGCATAGAAAACAGTACCAGCTCAGAATTCGCTGTGCTTCTGTTAAGCTTTAAACTCAGTGACAGTCAAATTAGACCCCTAATTAGCTGAAAAAAAAGGGCTTGTTTCACTATTACAAACACAGCAGACATTAGCCACTTTTGTTGCAAAATGAGTGATTATTGAAACCAAGACCCAAATCAAGGTTCAAAACCCCTAGTCTTAGCATTTGTGATGAATAACCAGCACTGAAGAATAACCAGCACTGACTCTTCACCATATGCTCCTCCAGCCACCCTGTAGGATCAGACAGAGGAGCTGTTAACTGCATCTGAAAACAGTAAAGTCCTTGTGTTACTGCTGCTTCTTCTAGTCCATGCAGAAGTGAAAGTCAGCAGCTTCTGCAGGCTTCAGACTTTGTTTCACCAGTTCTGTTTTTCACAGTGAAGCAAGTTTAACAAATTTGAGAAAGGCACAGAAACAGGGAGATGAGTGAGCTTGAGAAACTGGTGAACCAGGGACATGATTTCCCCAAAAGGAGTACTAATTCCTTGAGTGAGGGGAGGGGTAAAAGAAGTTGCTGCCACATAAGCCGAGACTGAGGATGGTTCACGAAGAAGTAGAAGACTTTTACATGAGAGCAAAACCAGATGCCAACCTGCAGGAAAAGAAGTCTGTGCAAGACACCTGCATGCAGACAGGCCACACATGCTGATGTGTCCTCGTAAAAGCCAGCTGAAGAACGTGGTAATGTTTAATGGCAAACTGGTGATCTGATTTTACATCTGATGCCCAAGGCTTCAAACCTGTGTGTATGTGGCATATGTTGAGTTTTTCTTTAAGATGTCTAATGAAAAATAAATATTAAAGCTGTATGCTTTGCCTCTTTGATATCACCAGTAAAACCCATAAAATGCTAAGTTCTTCTCATATATTTGTCAGGCTCTGAAAATTATGGATCAGGAGATGGATCGCCGATATTACCCACCATTACAGTAACGCCTCCTCCTGCTACATATTCTTCAACCACAGAGGAACATGAGCCAGTACTTGTCACTGCAAGCGTTACTGAAAGCAGCCTTGAGACAAAAAATACTCCAAGTATTGAACTGAATGGTGAGAACAATCGAGACAGCCTAGAGGCAGCAGAACAATCTATCTTGATATACATTGTCCCTGCTGTGCTGCTGGTCCTGCTGATTTTGCTGATCATATTTTTCGTAATACATCATAAAAGGAAGAAGTCTAAGCAAGGTAAAGTTGTTTTCTTGCACATCAAAAGGCTATTTTTAGATATGCTCGATATTAACAAAGTGTTACTTGGAAGCCTGGGATGCCATATTTAGGATATACTTCTCTGGTTGCAGTTGCACGTTTGACAGACAAGAAAGGGATCCACCCCCAGCCAATGGTATCTGGGCTCGCACTTCTCCTTGGGCAGGAGCTAGTTCTGCTCCTTGGCACCTCCTCCTCACACTGCATGCTCACAGGAGCCCCAGCACCAAGCTCCAGCTCCTGGCAATGTTGGGAAAAGCCTACGGAAGTAACTGTGTGGCTCCAAATGCTTATTCTGTCTTTGTGCTTAAAAACCTCATGCAAGTTAAATGTAATGCTTCTATTACCTGTACTGCCCACAAGGTAAAGCTGCTTGGACCTTCAACAAAATAAGAACAAGCAAAACCTCTTTAAGGAACACTTTTAAGGGATCCTTTAGGGTGGTGGTAGCTATGAAGTTACAGTAAGTGAGTTAGGAATCTTGTGGTCAGAGTGCTTGTCCTGCAATAGGGAAAGCAGCACTTCAGGACCTGTTGGCAAAGAAATTGGTAACTTGGAGAGTCAAGCCACAGAAAACAAATGAAGGGTTCATATTAAAATTGGGCAGTTGGTAAGTGAAGCCCTGAAATGGTAATATCGGTGTCTACACAACAAGAGTGCAGCTGTAAGACAGTGACATATGTTCAACATTGATTTTAAGTCCACTTTTCAGGCTGCACCTGTCTTTATCACCAGGTCATGTGGCACCCTGCAGAAGCACAATCCTGGCATCTCTTGCCCTATGTCTATTGCTTGGAGCTTGGCTCTTTGGCATCCTCAAGGTGGGGGCAGATGCTTCTGTGGCCATGGGGTGTCTCTGCAGTACAGGAATGTGGTGGAACAAGTGGGAGATGTCTGTGCCCATTGGCAACAATTAATTTTAAAAAAGCCTGCTTAAGACAGTATACAATGTGAATCCTATATGTAGTTCTGCATTCTTTTCTGAGAGGTAAGGCTTTTCGGTCACTTGATTCCTGGTGAATTTATTCATCTGAATAATGGCTGTTACTTTTCCCCCCCCCATTTTTACTCTGTCTTAAGGTCATAACTGTCTTTAGATCCCTTTTGACACGTGGCTAGTTCAGCCTCATTTGCCTGAGATGTAATCTGCCATGGAAGACCATCCCCCTCTTCTCTCCATGAGCAGCTCCCAGAGTCTCCAGGCAGAGCCAGATTCCTTGCTTGTAGTCTGCAGCAAAATGTCCTGATGCTTCCAGTAAACAATTTATTTTTTTTTTTCAGCAGTGGTTCCTTTTCAGAATACCATTGCTCTCACAATCTGTTTTGCTGAGGGAAGGGGGCATCTGCCATGTCCACCACAGCACTAACAGTCAAGTTTCCTCCCAGTATGGCCAAGCTAATAACAAGCTGCTTTCTGTGGCTTCAGGATTAAAAAGAATGAGTTCCTCTGAAAAGTACCAACAGGATGAAATGTTTTGTCTTTCATCTGCAAGCTAACTACTACACCTTATGAAAATACGTCCTGTTTTACATGACCCTAATAGAAGGCTTGCTTGCAGTCTGGACCCTGTATATACAAAGAGCAGAACCATGAACACCAACTTTTTTTCTTTTCAGATGAGCTGGGAAGTGAAAATGTGAAAAGGTAAAGTTTATGAACATAACTTTTTTTATTCTTTTACTCTGATGGGATGATACGATTTTTGGCTCCTTCACCATTTTAATCTAACCATATACTAAACACCATTACTTATTGCCATCAGTTGCTCCAGTTAACTATCTCTTGGTGTAGCTAAAGTGTGACTTCAGTATTTGAAGGTGTAAGACTTGAGCAGAACAGGAGTTACAGTGGTTGAGTGCTGCCACACAGACACCCATGACCCACAGACGCCCCTATGCCTGCTCTAGGCAACCCTGGCTCTGTCCAAGACATACAAGGTGCCCTGTGAGCAAAAGGGATCAGTTCCCAGGCTCATCACAGGTTTTTACTATTCAGAACAAGCTCTGTGTCTTGCTCCCTTGTTTTTCAAGTTTGTCTTCTCACTCTGAGATGAGGCAGAAAGGCTTACCCAGCTGCTGTGGGAGCAATGCCTTAGCTGCTTGGAAGACAAGAAGAAAGCTACATCACTCTGATAAGAGTGATAATTTTTATGATTAGCTTTTACTGAGCTCCATCTCACTAATCAATGCTGGAAATTATTAAACTGGCTTCACAGGGAATAAAAGGTGTTTTTGCAATAAGTTTATTTTTCCACTGTGTGACTCCAGGAATGATCAGCAAAAGGAAGCTAAACAGAGGCATTTAAATAAATAACCTTTCCTTTTGCACTCATTGCCAATGTCAGTCACAGCTAAGATGAAACTTTAGGCCCTCTGCTTTTATCACTGGAGCAATGGGACTTTTGCCATATGTTCCAGCAGGGCAGAGCTAAACTACTTCATTTTTCAGATCTCTATTTAAAGCAGCAACAGTTCTCAAACAGCTGCTGTGGTCCTGTGCTCTGGCATTCCCCAGACTGCACTGTCTGAGTCTCTCTGCATGTGATGTCCCAGCCAGCCCTATCTCTACCCCAGACTGGCATCTCGCTGCCACTCCTTTGCATCTGTTTGTGGCCATTTCGTTCATACCCACTGGGCTGACATCTCAGATCTCTAGGCTAGAATGGCTTTCTGGAGGTTATAATTTACCTGGAATTATGAAAGACTCATACAAAATTACTACATTGTAAATTATTTGAATTAAGCATTTTGTGTAATACCTTTTTTTTCCCCTCCCTCCTCTCAAGTCCTATTTTTGAAGAAGACACGCCCTCTGTTATGGAAATAGAAATGGAAGAACTTGACAAATGGATGAACAGCATAAACAAAAATGGTACATGGCAACTCCTCTACACCATCATCCTTCTCTTCCTAGCTGATGTAAATCCCATGCGTAGAAAATCCATGTAAAACATTAGGCATGTGTGGTACTGCTTTTCCTACAACATTTTTAGCTGTGTTCTTGACTCCCTGCTACTAAAATAGCAGCACAAATGTCAGGGGTAGAATTGTTCAGAGGAGTATTTTTGTTTGTGTGGGAGCTTATTTTTAACATATGAAGGAATATCATAAATGTTTTGAGTTTCTAGTAGACACTTCCATTAAACATGCATAGCTGTGAACAGTATTTATATTTTTAAAACACACATTTTTAATGCTAAGTACTAGTTTCCCTGAAGCATCTAGTCCTTTCAGTCTTCAGAGTTTCTATAGTTATGCACCTCACATTTGGCTGTTGTGGAAGAAACATACGTTTACTCATAGTTCAGACAGCCGTTTACTTAAAGTTACTGCCAGGATCCTGTGAATACATCCCTCCCCTCTTTGTGCCCTTTCTCTCACTTGCCATCTCTGCCATGTGAAACACAAGTTGCTCTTTGCTGCCAGCACCATTCACTGCTGGCATCCTCTCTGGCAAGTCTATCAGCCCACAGAGCAATACTACCACCAGCAGCACCTTCAGATCCTTCTTAGCTACTATTGTGCCCCCCCTCCCCGGCCATTTTCCTCCCAACTGAAATCTCCTGGTCAAAATCTCTAAGGATCCTGCATCCTCCTTCAAGGCTTTTCTTAAAAAATGCAGGTCTTAGAATGAGGTGTGAATTAACCAAAGCCTGATTTTGAACCTCTAACAGCTTTTCACTGTCTAGGAAATGATGAAATCTTATTTTTTTTATTCCTGGTCCCTTGCCTTATATCCAAATGGTGCATCTGCCTCACCTTCTAAGGATGCCTTGTTTTTCAGGACATAAAACTCCTTGGAGCATTTCTTTGCATTAACACAGCACTTCATGTGATGAGGTTTTGACCTTCGTGGTCCATAAGCTCTAGCAGAAAACATGTGCTAAGCAGCACTATTGAAATAAAGACATTAATATACCATACAGGCAAATAGTCTTGTAATTTATTATTTTTTTTTTTAATTCTTTGGACAGAAGGGAGCAAATGTTTCACATGCCTTTTTATTTTTTTTGTTAGTGCTCCCTAAACCCCAGCCTCAAACTCCCAGCTGGCCTATAAAGCATAGGTGCAGCTATAACCAGTAGAAGAGTAACAAATAGTCCTCCCCGTGGTAATTGATAGGAAACAGTCCTCAAAAATAATTTATTTGTATACCTGTACATAAACAACTGAAATATACATAGCAAAGAAATTACAGCAACACCTATTAAAGGGAAGGAAGATTTAAAATGTAACATTTACGCTGTAGGGACCATGCAGATTTTACAGCCCAAAGGGTGTAGAAGAGCATCTGCAGTTCTATGTTCAAGACAAAATGTATGACAAAAGTTGATGCAACTTTGAAATAAATGTAGAATGACTGTCAAGAGTAACTATAGCCTTGTTTCTTACCCCTCTTCAGCTGACTGTGAATGTTTGCCTACTGTAAGAGAAGAAGAAAAAGAATCAATTGCCAACCCAAGGTACTTTTAACTCATTATACTATTTGAAGAAATATGACCAACATCATTCCAGAACAATATTTTTTTTAATATGTAATTATGAAATGATTCTGTGGTCTATTTAAGTTTTAAAGTTTTTAATGTGTGGGGACTTTGATTTCAACTTAAACAAAAGGATTGACGCTCTTACTTGTGAACAGGTCTCAGTTAATCACACCAGTAAATTATCTTGCAGTTGTAAACCTGTGCGAGACAGACAACCAGATGGCACAGACTGAGTTTCACTCACAGATCAGACTTTAATCACAGTAGTTCCCCCAAGTGTTAATACAAGCATTCAACACAGCTTCCTTAGCACTCCTCACCAATGCAGACACCCAGCTCTCCTCTGCCACCAGGTACCTATAAGATATCTGAGAACCACTGCCAGATGTTTGACTGGAGCTTGTGACCTGCAGGACAGGGGCTTGTCTGATCCCAAGAGAAACCCACAGGATCTTCCTGATGCCCCCAGGCAGCACTCCCCCAGAGCTGGCATGAGCTCACAGTCCAAGCAGAGATCCTAGACAGATATAAAACTGCAATCCTGAGTGCTTCTAAACTTCAAAACTTTCTGGCTACTTTCCTCAGGATTTTGGCCAGAACCCCTAAACTCCTCTCAAACTCCCATTTTCCCTAATTAAAAATTCTAGTCCCAGTGGGAAGCAAAGGGCTGTACATTGCCCTTGCCTGCATGTTTGTGTTGCAGCTGCCTTTTGGGGGGTGGGCAAAGCAGCTCTTCTGTGTCAGGTTATGACAACAAACAAGCAAACCATTCTGTGTGCCAAGAAAATCCCTGGTGAAGTAGAAGCAGCAGAGACAAGCAGGCAAAGCCAGGAGCAGAGTGGTGTGGCAGGAGGAGGACCTAGGTCTTCCCCCTTCCCATAGCATCAGATAAATCAACTCAACATCCCTCTCTCACAGAGTTGCACCTCCCTCTGCAGACGATCACAATATTCTGTTCTCCCTCTTTTCTGAGCTTCCTTGCTCAGGAGTGAAATAGCACTGATGTTAAATCACTGCTGCTGGGGAGTTTGCAACTTGGTGGCTTCAAAGCTGCACTTTCAGGGCAGCTTTTGGATGGGGCTGCTCCACAACAGGTATTTGTATTTAAAAAAAAAGATCCTAGGTTAAAACAGGCACAATAATTTTACCCTGACCAGGAAAAGATGCTGAATTCAGTAACTATCTGGGTTTTCCCCTCCAGCCTCTAAATGATAACTCAAAGAGGGAAAATTGTTAAGGAAGGGCAGCTGCATAGTAGCTCTCTAAAAACAGATTTGCTGAGCTTAACACTGACTACAGTAGCAACCACAGGACAAATTGTGCTTGAGCCATATGCCAACACCAGCAGAAGTCCATCATACTATAAAAGGCTTTTTAGGCACAATGGCACCCTGAGCATTAAGTTTACTTTCCAAAACTTAAACAGATAATTATCAGAAAAAAATCATCATGACCTACCATGCGGGGCTGACATTTTAAATCCCATATTCCCTAACATGCTTTTGTACCAGATTTGCATTAGCCCCATCAGAAGGTGTGGTTTTTGCTCCTTACTGGCAAAAAGTATCTCTGGGCTACAGCCTACCTCAAATTTGCCACCTGTAAAATAGAGATATTGTTACTTCAAAGCACTACAGTGAGGCTTAAGCCTTGATGCAATAAAGCAGCCCTGTTCAGATAAGTACACTTCAGAGTGAAGGTACACATTATTTAAGCATATTTTCTTATGACTGATACCTTAGGATCAGATTGCTGAGAAATTTCTGCTTCTAAATGGTAGGAAGGCAAACAAATGCAAATTAAAAGCGGAGATTTTTCTCTAAAACACTAAAAGCTTCTCAGACAAAGGACATTAGTTCAATACAAAGTACAAGATTATTAGTTTCAAATTCAGATTCTGAAAGTCTAGCTTCTTTGAGCAAATTTCTTCTCAAATTATGGTAGTTTCTTTTTTAGATTTTATTGATGACATTTCAATACAGGAAACATCTCAAGGCCTCACTGAACACAGATGTCTGAGTGGTTTCTTCCTTTTTCATAAAGATGCTGGGAGGAGTTCATGAAGGAGCAAATGTTTTGAACTATGGATTGATTTGAATAAGATACCATTTTGGAAATGTGAGACTAAACTTTTCAATAATGATGTTTTTACATTTTCAGAGTCAAAGTTTTTCCAAAACTACTTTTCAGAATGAGTGAAAAAAAAATCTAAAAAGATTTAAAGTGCAGAACCCTGATGTGATGAAATATTTCTAAGTGAAGTGCCTCTCTTATCTCACAATTACTTTTTCAAATTTAATTTTACATGAAAGTTTGAGACATGCTTCAAGTCAAAGTGAGAAGATACCTGAAGTAGTGTGATTTCCTGGTAAACAAAAAAAAAAAAGAAAAACTGGTTCCCATTTATTTCTGCAGTTGAACCTTATCAGACCAAGATCTACTGGTTTTGCTGACCAAACTCTGAGCTACATAATGTCAGAAAAATACAGATAAATAGATGTTTTCAGCAGCTCTTTTGGGCAAGAAAAGTGGAAGACTAAGAAATAAAATGAAACAAAGCTATTACTATGGAAAAAATATTCGTATTTATGAACATCAAAGCCTGCAGAGTTGTGAACAAGAGGAAGGACACGACAGCCCAGGATCCTTTGTAGATGAAGATCATCTGCTTTGTGTGTTAACTAAGTTAAAAAATTATATATGTATATACAGTTTTTGAAGATATATATTTAAAATAATACATCTTGCCTTTGAAACCTAGTGCTAAAATTCTGCTTGTGCCTGAGCAGAGAACCACAACAACTCTCCAGCCTCACACATCCCCTGTGTGCAGGAGGGAGTGGGCAGGAAAGCACAGTGGCATCAGATGAGCTCTGATGCTGCTGCGGTGCACAAGTGGGTGCAAGACTAATTATTCTTAAAGAACCTCTACTCCTTGGCAAAACAAAAGTGCAGCCTGTCCTCTTCACAGCGTGGATTTTTGTAGGCTGCCCAATATGAAGAATCAACACACCCCCTCATCTGCTTTATCACATATCATGAGGAGGGGTTCTTTTTCCTTGGGCACTGCTGGGCAGCCTCCTAGTCTTACCGTCCAGAAGAGGGTGGCTCGTTCCTATGGAGAGGTGTTCTGGGCAAGGAATAACTTGGTACAGAACAAAATACTCCTTTCCCAGGCTGTGCCTTAGTTTGGCAATGTACGTAAAAGAATGTGAAGTATCAGGATTACAAGTGGCCCTTTTAACTTCAGAGGTGGTTTAAACCTCTCATCTTAATGCTGACTGAAATCTAACCAGCCAATTAAAAAAGTCACATTTTTAATGTTGGCATGAACCAAACATTAAGAAAATTCTGGGGAGCAAGCTAACAGAAACCATCGGGACACAAAATTCGCCTGTTACAAGGCCAGATGTAATGCAAAAAATTCTATCTGTAAAAAAATTATCCTCACCAATGGAAAGAGGACAATTTGATTTCTGAATCCTCACCTGGGAGCAGGAGAAAGGGTGTGCTGTGTAGCCACCAACCAGAAGAGAAATCAGACCAGCCCTTGCTGCCAGCATCTGGCACCACAGATAGGATCCGTTCATGTGTTGCATGGCTGACACGTTTGTTTTCCAATAAGAGATTCTCATTAGACTCCAGAGGTACTCTTGTGTATTATATCCCACTGAGACAACTAACCCAAGAGCATAACTGGTGTTTTTTTCTTTTCCATGTATACACAGTGATGGTGAATCATGACTTCAGAATGGCAAAGAACTGGTTACAGGAAAGCAGCTAACAATCCCTCAGTTATTAGATGAACTGGATTCGAATAATTAATCTCAAGTGACCAGAGAAGCTAATGCTCTTGTGCCCTGCTGCGTACAGTCTTCACAAAGGAAACATCACCAAAGTGAAGGAAAAAAAAAAAAAGAAGAAAAAAAAAAGAAAGAACACTCTAGTAAGATTAGGAGCTGATTGAAATTCCTTCTGCAATGAGATTCATCACGAATCAAGAGAAGCCTCTTCCCTCCTCCCAAAGGTTCTCATGTTTCTGTCTCATTTTTCAGCTGTGTATCATGCAGAACCACTTCTGTGCTGAGTTTGGTGGGTTACTTTGGGTTTTTTTATTTTATTTTTTTTTTTAAATATAAACAGCATCTGTGATTCTGGAGGACCCTGGTTTGATGGATGTGAAGCTTATGGCTATGCAATGTTTGGTTTTCAATTTACTTTCTGGTAACAGTCCACTGATTTGCACAGGACTTCTGCTGGGGAGGTAAGACCAGGCCAGGTCTGAGGACAGACAAAGCAGCTGAAAAGCCTCCCAAATGATTTGATGGAAGAAACTGCAGCCCAGCAAGGGCATGGTCTTTGTAGCATGCTTTTTGGTTTTCAATTAAAGACATTGTAGAAGTAAAAAATATATTTTGAGATTGCCTTTCAGTTTATCTCCTCAGATTACTACCCTGGGATAGCTCTCACCATTTAACCATCCTCCCTGCCCACAGCTGCTCTCTAAGAACCACCTACTTCAAGAATATTCAACCTTAAAACTTTTTTTTTTTTTTTTAAATAAGAACAGTTGAAAAACTGAACAATTCAGTACTTGCACCAGACAAGTTTAGGTAATGACATGTCATGCATAACTATTTGGTCAAGGTAAGATTCCTGTAAGAAGGTAAAATGCAGTAGGATTTCTGCTTCTTCTGGTGTTGAATATTAAGCTTGGAACATCTGAACGACATGGGCTTCTAAATGTGCCTGGTCACCTCTAATACACTAAAAAAAATAAATCAGACTCCTCAAGTTAGGAATATAATTATTGTAACCTCATCCATTGATTTTAGCTGGTTTGTCTCTTATGGATGTAGTTTAAATATGTAACATACATGAAAGTGGATCCTTGTCTGTGCAAAGCTTCCCCCACCTTATTTAAAATATTAAATTCTCATCCTACCATATGTCATATCCTACCTGTCCTCATCTTC